GGGTTAATTGTAGTTCAAAGTGTCTCTTTCCCGGTAAAAAAGTTTGAGAGAAAAAAAAATACACTTTTTGAGAAATTAAATAAAAAAAATTTGCACCTTTTGTTTATTGTTAAATAAAAAATTTTAAATAATGAAAATCAATAATTATATCATTCTATCTTGAAGTGACAAGAATTACTGACATTTGAGTAAAAACAGTGTTGGAATCTATTAAATTTTGACAAAGTTATGGGCATTAAAAAAAAAAATTCTCACTGTCAATTCGAATAATCGATTGAAAAACAAAATCGCGTTTAATTCGGTCGAAATATTTTTCCGAGCCAAAAGAAAAAATACGTGTCTCATTATTTGGACCAACAAACAAGTGATTTGAGTTTGGTCGAAATTAAAAATCATGCTCGTACCTGACCGGTTGTCTGGAAATGGAAAGCATCCATAGTATGTACAGATTATGTACATATAATAAATACAAATTTATTTCATTGGAAGTTACTGGAATTAATTTTCTAAATATTTTATATACTAATGGAGTTTTAATTTATTTATTCATTTACTCATTTATTTTCTAAACAAATTGGTATTATAATTCTATGAAGAAGTGAACGCAAGTTTGCTTTAGATTTTCATTATTCACCTCAGTCTGCAAAAATTATCAATTAGTCATGAATAACAGAAAAGACTAATGACTTCAACTTTGCAGTCCTTAGTCAAACATGTGATTGATTAGCTGCAGTTCAAAAGTGTTAGTCAGTGAATATGACTGCAACGATTTAGAGTCACGAAGACTGCATTTTTAACACCTCTGCTACAAAGCTAGTCAAAAAGTTTTAAGATTACTAAATACATACATAAATTCGAATGCACAGAACAGGGGCAAAGAAGTACATGAAAATAAATTAAAATTCCTACCAAAATAAACAATAGGGGTATTCACGATCCGGTGCATACTGTCTAACATGGTGCATAGATAGCATAAATAGCATGATTGTTGTTGTTTCATGTGTTCAAACAACAACAAAATTAGCCAATCATGCTATCTATGCACCATGCTAGACAGTATGCACCGGATCGTGAATACCCGTAATATATATAAAAAGCTTTAACCAGTGTAAGAATTAAAAAACAATGGTTACAATACCTAAAAATTTAGGTTTAGGGTTTTTTATTTTCCTTATTTGTAGCTGTCGATTTCGTACAGGGAGACGATCGCTTGACCAACCGCATGCTCTAAAATATAAGTATATATTTAGTAATTTTTGAACCAATTTTAGTTAAAAGAGCTAACCATTCGTGAAGTTGTCTGTTTTGCAGCATTCGATTGCGTTATTGGATGCCTATCCCTGGCTGTTGATGTTAACATTCCCCCCAAACTACAGCGCGCGCGCCCCGGAGATTTGGACTTTGTTAATTCTGGTATTGGACGTTTTTTAAGCACAGAAGAGGTTGTAGATGTTTGTTGTAATTTGAAAGTAGGCGTGGAAATTGAAAAGCGTGGATTATTTCTTGTTATTGTGCCACTCGATTTAACCGCTCCGCTTGCAGGAGTAGAACAGGCACTTGGAAATTCACATATTTTATCACCACCCCTAGATGACGGCATTGGTGTACTAGTAGTGGCTATTTTACCAGATTTTGTAAGCAAATGCATTGATGTCTCCATGTTGACCTTGTGAGATATTAATCTTGAATTCGCCGCTACAGGACCTTCGGGTGTAGCTATAGTAGTTGTAAGCATTGGTGCTACTTTCTTGATGGGTATTACAGCTTTCAGTGGTTCACTTGATGCCATTACAGATGTTTTCGTCGTTTGTTGCTTGAGTCTTTTTTTCAAATCAGGTTTAAAAGCGTTCAGACTGGTGCGTTGAATAGGACGAACCACTGCTTGCTGCTGAGTTTCACGGTCTTGCATCCTGGAGGGGCCGAGTGAGTAACGTGATTGAACTTGTAAACTTCAAAAAGTCATAAATAAACTTACAAAAAATTCAATTTAAACAAACACTTAATTTTTAAACTTACTTCTGAGGGCGTCTAGTATTTACCATACTGGCTCCGCGATTCAATGAAGTCAGTGGTGTCAGTGGCGTAGCACTACAAAAGGAGTTTCTCCGCATAGTTGGACGCATTGGAGTCTTTACATCCGAAGTAGTGCCAACTCGAGGCACACATTCAATATTTGGCGAGATGGTAGTTTCAGGTGCAGCAGGAGTTATATGTGACCGTACTGGTAGTTGAACAATCTTGACCTTGTCATGTAAAGACAAAGATTGTGAACGCCTTCGCATTGCCAAATTACTAGTCATATCTTCAAAAGCATCAGCACATATTGAGCTATTTACGTTTTCATGAGTAGGCTGAATAGAGTTTGTTTGCATAACCACAATAAATGTAGGATTACACATTGCCGATTGCTGTTGCGCATTGTTTGCTGATGAATTACTTCTACTCGAGTCATCTCCATTGTTTGTTAGTGTTGCGATTTTGTGTTGTTCGAGAAGTTTGCCTATTTGTTCGATGATATCATTTACGTCAGGTTGAGAGATTGCTTCACTCGATATCATGTGCTTGAAATTCGGCGGTTTTATCGGCGAAATATTATCCACATGTGGCAACAGGAGATTTTCTCTTTCCGCCACAGGCTCCCCATCATATGTGGCCGAAGACTTTACCATAACATCAGCTATTTCTTTAGGTGGGGACGGTGATTGTGTTGATTGTAAAGAATGTGTGGTGCGTGATGTATCGTCAGACATTGTCGGAATCATATCAGTATGCTCACCCTTATCTTTTCCGGGAGACTTTAAAAATGAAATAATATTTATTAAAAAGCGATACTGATATAAAAATTAAACTTAATAGTAAAATACCTGTAGATCCTTGTCAAAAGTGCCCTGTCGCACGATTGATTGCGGCGCTTGTGTTAACAATCCGGCATTAGCATAGCTATTCTCTTGCTCGCCGCTATTATTATCCTCCGTCTTTTCAGTGTTTAAAGCTGTACTAAGTTTTTTTAACAAACAATTTGCCTGTTCCTTTTTATTTTCATCTACAATATCACTTTCACATAGCAGTGACTTTAAATTATCGATTAACGACACAACATCTTGGCCATTACAAGCTGCCATCCGTTTTGCTTGCAATTTTTCACGAATCGCCGACAAATCAGATGGTGTCACAATTTGAGGGGTAGGCAGTATTTCGTTGGCTTCGTTTGTCGTTAAAGACGTTTCTTCGGGTACTGGTGAGGGCAATTTCCTTAACATCGGTATACTAAGCATTTTCAAATCGGCTTCGAAATCATTTTCAGAGTTTGGAATTTTTGCCGGCTGATCGCTAACAAGGTCATCATCTACCAATTTCAATGGAGATTCCGTGGAAAGGATATAATCGCTAAAATGTGCGGCAGCCGAGAAAACTGTCGAAAATCCGCTGTCTCCTTGTCGTGTTCGACAACTCAATGGCGAATTAAATGTTGAATTAGCTATACTCAATTTAAGCAAACGTTTACGATGTTCCAACGCTTTTTGGATTTTCGCAGAACAACCATCGGCACTATTGGCGGAACTTTCGTCGCTTTCAAACGCAGAGCTGCAAGTGTCTGGTGTAGATTTCTTAGACATTGAAATTGGTGGACTCTCGCTATCTAAGTCATTTACTAGGGCTGTATGATAAATTGTCGAACTAATGTTAACGGTCGGCGAGTCAGTGGTAGGTTTGCTAATGTTTTCCTGAAAGGATGTGTTCTCATCGAACTCACAATTATCTACATCATCTATTATGTTATTATCGCTCAGTGATAAAAGTTTACCGACTTTTACTTCATGTGTAGGTTGCATAGAATATCGTGCCTAATTAAACAAATGAATTATGCAAGTAGTATCGAAATAAACATATATTTATGTATGTACATATTATATATGTGATTGCACTAACATACATATGTATAAAAATAACGTTTAACAAACCTTAACACATGCTTCCTTTTCTATCATATCAAACGGATCATCTGAACGGCTTGCTAATTTTTGAGCGCAGTCAAATGGGTTGTTATCAAGACTTTCACGTCCTTCTCCCGTAGCCACTATGAGGCAGTTGGGCATTGTGCATTCCATAACTGATTGGCCGTCGTTTGGACTTGTTTGCGATTGATGTGTTGGCAGGACCAACTGCCCCTCCATAACGCCATAATCACTGCTAAGGTCTATTAAATTATCAATGTGATGAGTTTCATTCATTTGTTGATATTCTTAATACAATTATCTTTTTTTATATCAAAGTTCGATAAATAATGTGCCTAGCAAATAAATAGGAGAGAAATCACAGGTTTAGCACCCCTCTAAAATGGCAGCTGGATTCCTTTTGAAATTAACTGTTTGACCTGTCAATCTTGCTCCTTTCGCCACTTCATTCCAGGTAAAATTACCTGATTTTTAGAGTTGCCACATTATAGCCATGATTCAACTACACACCAGCGTTGCCGTTTTCATACCGATCGGAGTGTTTCACTCCTTTTTAAAGCCGAATACTACGTCACTCCATCTCTTGTAAAAACACTCCGTTCTCAGATTATCAGAATTAAATATTTATGAGATGAAAATGAATGGCCATATATACGTTTATACGTAACTTATTTCCAAAAAAAATAATTTGCAAATACCTAAATCACTGTTTGTACCATGGTTTGTGGGTATCTAAAGGGATATCAAGTGATTGAATTTACGGACGTAAAGGCAGGTTTATAAATCAGATATTTTTCTTTGAAATGCCGTGGCGAATCGATGATAGATTCAACAATGACAAGGTTGTTAATATATTTTAAATGGCATTAGAAGAGCGATTGAAATGCATACTACATAACAAATGTACGTTATATTATTTTTTATCATACAGGAAAGTTAAAAAGAAAACAATTTGTTATTACCAGTAAATCGGAGGATCTCAAAGTTTTTAACCGCAACTCGAAGAAATTAATAACAAACCTGCAGCCCGGCAGCTCCTAGACCCGGACATTTGGCAAGCCTAACCGTGCAATTTCTCACGTCATTTACTCCGAAGACTTTATTAAAACTATAAACTATGCGAATTTTTGGCCACTTTTTCGGTTTTTCGCAATTCATTCGAAATTTTGAGTGCGCAGAAGTCAAATGGACCGCAGATTCGAGCTCAGAGGGTCGAATTACGTGGGTCTAGTTAAAAGCACACACCAACTTTTTGGTGTGCTATGTATATACTAGCTATTATTCTGATCTTTTTGTTTACCAGGAAATCTTATTTTAAGTATAAAAACCAGCAAAAGAATTTATTTACTGCCGTCAAACGCCGTTTTCTTAAATGGTAGGAAAGAAGCCATTTTGGTAGGTTTTTGAACCCTCTCTTGGTAGGAAAGAAAGTTTTTCAGTGGTAACCCTGCATGCTAATCATATGGGCAAGGGAGACTAAACCTTTGGTTTTTCCAACAAATTATAGCAAAATTTTTTTTTCCAGATTTTGCTTAACTGGCCAAACAGAATGCAGTACTACAGCCACAAGCTATTTTGCTAGCTACATCAGAAATAATACACCGTAACCACAGCTACATATTGTGGGCAGTTTAGAACATTTAGAGCACTTTTCAAGATCGTGTGCGATATGTTTACAAGTTTTAACATATTATTTTTTGTTATTTAACTTTATTTATTTATTTTTTTATAAAAATATAGTTTAAGTTCCAATATTGTGTAATATTAAAAAATATATTCAACAAAAAATTTTAACTTTTTAATTAGATTTCTTAGAAAGATTTTGAGTAGATTTTCAGTTTTGTAGCTTGATTTTTTAGAATTTCTATTGTCGAAGATGTTACGGGTTTATTCGATATAAAAAGAAATTGTTTATTCCACTAGAATTCAATGGACTACAAAACTGCGTACTCAAAATATTTCGAAGAAATCTAATTAAAAACCTGGAAATTTTTGAGTTTGTTTAATTTTTTTTTTTATATTGTTTTATTAAAGAATGAAGCATATTTTTATAAACAAATTACAAAAATTAAATAACAAAAAAAATCAATTGTCAATACTTGTCCATATGTGGTGCGGATATAATTTTTTCGTCCACTGTACATCATGAATATTTTGTGCATTAATCCTCACGCGCCGGACGCCGCCGAAAAAGGACAGAAAACGGCGGCAGCGGCGGCGTGGCTTGGCGGCGTAAACCTTTAGTTCGATCCTCGGTTGGACGGATTACGAAAAATATTTTTGTTTTTATTATTTATTTTATTTTTTTTAATTTTACTTGATTTATAAGTATAAGTTTACTTTATTTTATGTCACATTTTTTATTTTACTATTAGTTAATTTAAATTTTTAGAGTTGTATTTTATTAAAATGTCAACAAATACTAACTGAAAGCAACGTTAAAAAAATATAGAATTCTTAAAAAAATGAATAAAAACGAAATAAATGAAAATTTTACTGGCCGTGGAATTCGAACCCACGACTTTGCAGCTCGATAATCCGCAATACTACCGTCTGTCAGGGCAAAATTATTATGCGCATTTGTGTGCTAGTTTATCTTGCGTTTTAAGAGGCAGAAAAGGCATTAAGGGCCGGTTTCTCTATCTCCGGTTAACACTTATCCCCCGGTAAACATCGTTACCGACCTTATCGACTCCCTGTTATATGCACGGTTTCTACATCTCTGGTTAACACTAACTCCCCGGTTAAACATTGTTATCGACGTTCTAACTCCATGCATATAACAGGGAGTCGATAAGGTCGGTAACGATGTTTACCGGGGGATAAGTGTTAACCGGAGATAGAGAAACCGGCCCTAAGAGTGTTTGCGATGCAAAGACTAAAAAAAAAAAATTGGTATGCAGTATCATAGCCCGTTCAGTTTTAGTATATCTAATAATGCAAATTTGAAGTGGCTAAGGATTCACGTTGATTTTTAGTATTTTTTTTTCAGAAGGTTCTACGCATTTTGCCCATACAAAGTATGGGCGAAGTTTATTTAATATAGAAAGAGTTTAGATGATCATATTATTGCATTTTTATAATTAGGTAACATTGAACAAGAATTTTTAACCGTTTTATAAATAGTGAAATAGGTATTTATTTTTATTTTTGCAAATATTTAGCTTACATATAAACGTAGTAGAGGTCATATATTTTCATTTCATAGTAAATATTTAATTCTGATAATCTCAAAATCAGAGATTTTTGCAACAGAGGGAGCGACGTAGTGTTGGGCTTAAACACTTTAATCGGAGTGAAAACGGCAACGCTGATCCACCTTAATTTGAAAATATTGTACAAATTTCGATCATTTATTTACGTATTTTCGTTCACACTCTTGGCTGACAAGCCTCCTAAAAATCTTTTTTGTGAGAAGTTTCATTTTAAATTTCATTATACATATATATGAACATATATTTTGTGAACTCAATTATCACTGTCCAAGATATTTACGATTTTATTTCGAACAGCGAATGGATTATACATACGATCGAAAAGCGGTATGTATTAAAAACTAAAGCAATAAAATATGTACATATATGTACATGGCTTGTTGGCAATAACAGGAGGATTTCATCGATAGTGCCGTCGTTATGTCACGGAATTCTAATAGTAAAGCGCTTATATCACAGGCAAGTTACAATATTATTCCCTTAATTTTTCATACATATTAGTGAGATATTCTTGACAGAAGTCGAATGGACAAACTACGAGGAAAAAGATGCATTATGTATTATGGCCATTTGTATTTGGAGTGAATCTGTACGACTTTCTTGGTCTATGTCATCTTGTTCCCACGCACACTTTGCATCTATCACGTCCTTTTCTGATGAGCACATCAACGTTTCAAGTTTTTCAAAAAACTCAAACGGGCCTTTGACTTGTCTATGATCTCAAACGGAAACAAAACCTCCTGCTGATGGATATGTTACCGGCCAAACCCGATCTTAGGACAAACTAGTTTTGCCTAGGCTAAACTAGATCAGGGCCCACAGTATTTTTGCGCGGAACACCTTTCCTAGTAGGCGGGCTTCGGCTGCACTTAAAAAAAATATCCCTTATCAGTATAACACCAGCTACGCATTCCACAATATTGTTGCGTCCAACTTGTTTCCGCATTGGACGGATATATTGGATCTAGGTAGAACTAGTTTAGCCTAGGAAAAACTAGTTTGTCCTAAGATCGAGTTTGGCCGGTAATAGATATAAACAAATGTTAATGCTGTTTTTAATTTGTGCTTGTAAAATATTCATTTGTCTTTAACAAATTAAAATTAAAATTATGTAGCTTGAAATATGTAAAACGTGCGGTAAATTATGGGTAATAGCCCTTTCGAAACCTGAATTAAATTGGGTGGGAATAAAACTTTTTGAAGGCATATTATTGTTGGCTGAGACCTAAATATGAACTGGTATAAATTTTAAATGTCTATGACTTCTTGTTTTGCTGTTATGAAATGTTGCATGTAAATATTCACAAAGTTTAATAACAAAAACCAATAATAATTTTCAAGGTTTGATGTATTTATTTAATTTTCCATAATAAATTTTTTAACCTAAACCCTTTGTTTAAAAGAATATACTTTATTACGGATATTAGGTTTGTTCGTCTAAAATCCAGCAAGAATTATCCAACACTCAAAATATCAGAGAGTAAGAAAAAATTCTCTCAAATTCTCTCTCATGTTGAGAAACTTGCAAATTTCTACGCGACCGCAAATTTGCAAGTTTCCCTGCTAGCTGGTGTCCACGGTTACATTTCAAACATAATAAATTTTTATAATATTTTTAAAATTATTTGAGATTTACAAAAACAGGATAAACATGACATATATTTCTTGTTCTGACTTTCTTTAACATACATTTCAATTTCTTTATCGTACTAGCAGTCTGGTTTCTTAAATCGACTCTGGTTGCCATTGCATTCCGATTCACCACATTTCCTCATCAGACTTCTTTCAGTAGGATTCGAACCGACGATCACCACTGACTCAGCCAGTTGCCTACGCACTGT